TTGTTTTCCCCTGTCCAGTTCCCAGCCCTGGCCCTTACCCTGGCCACCAGCTTCTGACCTGCACTGTGTTGATCTTTGGTTCTGCCGTTTGGTATCTGACCTTGGCTCTGACCCTCAGGTTTGGCTCCTGGCTCTGACACTGCGACTGACCTTGGCTTTGTTCCCCGGCCTGGATAGCTGCTCTGCCCTCTAGACCTGACGCCTGCTCTGACCTTTAGGCAAGATTTCTATGTCCTGATGATTACAGTGGATGAGAAGCTGGATATGAGTTACCAGGGGGCCATTGTAGCCAAGAAGGCTAATGGCCTATTGGGGTGCATTAGGAGGAGCATTGCCAGCAGATCTAGGGAAGTGATTATTGCACTTTATTTGGCTCTGGTGAGGCCACACCTGGGCTACATCTACACTGCAGGCTTCTTGTGCGAGAACTGTTTTGCGCAAGAGTTCATGTGCAAAAGTTCTTGCGCAAGAGCGCGTCCGCACTGCCACGTGCTTTTGGCACACGAGCATCCATGGCAGTGTGGACACTCTCCTGCGGGAGAAAGCTCGGATAGTCATTTTAGCTGTAGGGCTTTCTTGCGCAAGAAATCCCTGTTGCCTGTCCACACTGCCCTCTTGTGGAAGAGCTCTTGCACAAGAGGGCTTAGTCCTCATGGGAAGAGGAATAGCTCTTCCACAAGAAGCTCTTTTCCAACACTGTACTGTAAATTTACTTGCACAAGAACCTGCGTGACGTGTAGACGCTCTGCAAGTTTTTGCGCAAGAACACTTGTTCTTGCGCAAAAAGCCTGCACTGTAGACGTAGCCCTGGAATATTGTATCCAGTTCTGGGGGCCCCACTACAGAAAGGATGTGTACACATTGGAGAGGGTCCAGTGGAAGGCAACCAAAATGATTAGTGGGTTGGAGCATGTAACCTGTGAGGAGCAGCTGAGGGATTTAGGTTTATTCAGTCTGAAGAAGAGAAGAGCAAGGCGGGGGGACTTGATAGCAGCCTTCAACTTCCTGAAGTGAGGTTCTAAGGAGGCTGGCGAGAGGCTGTTCTCAGTGGGGGCAGGTGGCAGACCGAGAAACAATGGGCTCAAGTTGCAGTGAGGGAGTGTTCTAAGGAGGCTGGAGAGAAGCTGTTCACAGTGAGGGCAGGTGGCAGACCGAGAAACAATGAGCTCAAGTTGCAGTGTGGGAGGTCTAGGTTGGATATTAGGAAAAACTATTTTCCTAGGCGGATAGTGAAGCACTGGGCTGGGTTCCCTAGGGAGAGGGTGGAATCTCCATCCCTAGAGGTTTTTAAGTCTTGGCTTGACAAAGCCCTGGCTGGGCTGACTGAGTTGGGTTGGTCCTGCTTTGGGCAGGGGGCTGGACTCGATGACTCCTGAGGTCTCTTCCAGCCCTGGGATTCTATAAGAGCTGGTCCCATCCCAGCAACTCCCCAGTGCTGGACTTAGGCACCAGGGCTAAACCCTCTGGGAATGTCCAGTGGGTTTTAATGACCCAAGGGGCCGTGGTTTTACATGCCATCTGCCTGGCTAGTCTAGAAACGTGAGGCGTGGATAAGTGAGACATTCTGCCCTGGGGGAAGGAATTTAATTGGGCTGAGCAGAGTTCCTCTGGATTTAGGCTGGCATGACTGACAGGCCAATCAGACAGTAGGACTGGCAAGTTTTTCCACAAAAGCAGCTGCTTTTCCGGAAAAACTTGCCAGCTGTCTACACTGGCCGCTTGAATTTCCGCAAGAACACTGACTTCCTACTGTCTGAAATCAGTGCTTCTTGTGGAAATACTATGCTGCTCCCGTTCGGGCAAAGCCCTCTTGCACAAATGTAGACAGGGGAGGACTGTTTTGCGCAAAAAAGCCCTGATGGCGAAAATGGCGATCGGGGCTTTCTTGCGCAAAATCGCGTCTAGATTGGCACGGATGCTTTTCCGCAAAAAGTGCTTTTGCAGAAAAGCGTCCGTGCCAATCTAGACGCTCTGTTCTGAAACTGCTTTTAACGGAAAACTTTTCCTTTAAAAGCATTTCCGGAAAATCCTGCCAGTCTAGACGTAGCCTAGGAGTGACGTAGCTGGGTCAGAAAAGTTTGTGAAGGTCTTTCCATGCTCTCCCAGGTGGTAAGTCCCAGCTGCCAGCCCCCATTACAGAGGCACTCAGCCTGGGCAAGAGCTCACGGTGTCTGGGTTCAGGGTTAGAAGACCAACTGCAGCCTTGTGTGGGTCAGTGTCAGACACCTTCGAAAGCCCCCAGCTGCCCCCATATTGGTCCATGTCATAGGCGACAGCTCTGTGGGTGCTGTAGGGCTGGGGCACCCATGAGAAACCTGCCAGCCCAGGAATCAGTGCTTGTGCCCTCTGTGTGTGCTGTGAATCAGTGGTTAATGGGATGAGGGGGCACTGAGGGAAAGGGGCAGGGCAGGGGCTTGGAGGAAGTGGTGGAGCGAGGCCTGGGGCAGAACTGGGCCCCAGCAATCTCTGGCAGCACAGGAAGTCGGTGTCCATGTTCTGGTGCATTTGGGTGCTGAGCAGTGTGGAAATCCAGACCCCAGCCTGGCTCCCACATGCCGGTCTCGCTTCCCCTTTCCCCACAGAGAGGCCCCTTCTGAGACGCCTTTTCCTCCTAGGACTCTCTGGGAATGTCGAGGAGTCGTTGCGGGGTCAGTGTGAGGATGGTGTCCCTGGGACTGCTCTGCTGTCTCCTCACCTGTATCCTTCTCACAGGTAAACAGTGTGTGTCTGTGTCTGTCTCTCTCTTTCCGTGTGTGTGTGTGTGTGTGTGTGTGTGTGTGTGTGTGTGTGTGTGTGTGTGTAAGGCTGGCTGAGAATTTTCTACTGAACTGAAAAAACCAGTTTCTGCAGAATTGCAGCTTCTGTGGGAATTCTTTCATTTTGTGAATTGCCCCTTTTTCAACTGCAACGTGAAGACAGTGAATACTCCGCTCGCTTGGACCCGAATCAGAACGCTTCCTTTTGCTGAATGGACCCAACATGTTTAATTTCAAATCCGTTCGATAAAATGTTGAAGCAGGATTTCCCTGTCAGCCCTTTGCCTCATGGGAGCTGTAGTTTGAGCCTCCATTCTCTCTGCTGCACCGGGCTCCCTGCAAGACTACATGTGCCACAAAGCGATACCGGCTCCCCTCTTCCAAGCTGTGTGGGGCATTGTGAAAGTCACATGATTCTCAGAGTGCTCTGGGAGTGTGAGGTCAGCCCATAGGGCCTCATGGGGCATCCAACTCCCAAACCACAGCTAGCGTTGTCAGATGGTTTAACCAAGAATACCAAGGCCTCCCCCCCCCCAAAAAAAAACACCAGGGAAAAAATTCTGTTGGGGGGGAGGAAATAGGGAGAAGACCAAAGCTGTTAAGAAAAAAAAAAGGACCCCGAGAGTTATTAAGCAAAACTGAAATAAAATAAACCAGCATTAAAACAGCGTGGCCCCTTTAAAGACATGCCGAGTCAGAATAGGGATAGGAGAGGGAACGTTTCAGCACTAAGACCCAGGGAAGGCATTGCTTCCCCTTGCTTCAGGTCTTTAGGCTTTTTGCTGGTGGCCATCTTGTTTTCTTGATCAAGAAAATACCGAACTGTGCGGGTCAGTACCGGACACCTGGCAACCCTAACTGCAGCTCCCATGAGTCAATGTGCCTGGGAAAATGCAGATTAATGTTGAAATGATTTGAAATGAAGCGTTTGGCGTCATCTTATCAAACCAAAATGAAACATTTCTGTGCAGGAATGTCAAATGTTTTTGATCAGACGTGCCGAAACAAACGCCTTCAAAGCTTCCAAACTGAAATATTCCTGGCTTTCTCTTCTGAAAAAAACAAAACAAAACAAAACAAAACAAACCCAACACTTTGGATTTCTGACTTTTCATCTTGATTCGGGATGGACAACAATGAAATTTATTTCATGTTGTGATGGCTCGTTGAGGTTTTCCCATCTCCTGCACCCCTGTAATGGCATGAACAGACTCCACCAGCCTGTAGTATAGAGGGTGCTTATTGCTTCTTCAGGATACAGCACAGCACAGATGTAATCTGGTTACAAGGCAGGCCTAGGATGCCAGGGAATCTTCCACCTCCGACTTCTTCCTGTACATCTCGGGGGTCAGCCCGAACTTGTGCAGCAGGGTCTCCTTGACTCGGTTGTAATCCCCTGGCTGTATTAGGTCCTCCAGCTGACTGAGCACTCCGGCCGCCTCCTGGTTCAGTGTGGGGACGAGCTCCTGCAGCCAGTCAGCTGGGGGAACCCGTTGCAGTCCACAGGCCCTCTCAAAGGCACTTAGGAATCCGTCTATGTCACCCATGTCCTTCAATTGAGCCACCGCGAGCCTCTCCAAGCGTCTGGCAGCCCCGGGACCCTGGGGCCCATCCACTCTTGGCGCAGCCGGGGGCCCGCCGGTTCTCCGCTCTGCCATGGCCAACTCATGCTGTCTCTCGATCTTGGTGCTCCTTCTCTTGGTCCTCTACTTCCAATTCCTTCATCCGCAGTGGATCTCCAGCCACTGCAGCTCTGCTGAGCTGGCCCCTGCCCTAGACGGGCCACGGCTTGCAGGGCTTCCCAAGGAAGCTGTCCCATCTCTCTGGCGGGCTCCAGTGCTTCTCCCCGTCTCTGAGCCTGAGACGCTCCCTGGTAGGGTCTGGCTGCTACCCACAGGGACAAGATCCTGGCCCCGTGGCTGGTCATTCTCCTCCAGCCTGGCAATCAGCTGGGCCTTGCTTGCTTTCCGCACAGTCAAGCCCCTCTCTCTGCACAGCTCCACCAGCTCTGCCTTCAAGAGTCGGGCATAGGCCATCTGCCCGTTGAGTTGCTTACCGCACAGGCAAGCCCCTCTCTCTGCACAGCTTCACCTGCTCTGCCTTCAAGAGTCGGGCGTAGGTCATCTGCCTGCTGGGCCCCTCGGTGCAGACTCACCAGTCTAGTGCTGCAGCGCCCCACGATTCCCCGGAACCGCTTCGCTCTGTCTCCAGCATGCCTGGCTCCAGGGCTCTTGCTTCTACAGCGCCTTGTCGCTTGCCGCTGGAAGCTCCATCCACAGGGTGCAGTGCATCCCACTCCTGACACCAGTGTGACGGCGCGTTGGGGTTTTCCTGTCTCCTGCACCCCCGTAATGGCACGAACAGACTCCACCAGCCAGTAGAATAGAGGGAGTTTATTGCTTCTCCAGGATACATCACAGCACAGATGTCATCTGGTTCCAGGGCAGGCCTAGGATACCTCAGGCCCCCTTGAGATGGGGGAGACTGGGTCCCTAAATCCCAGCCCCTTTCTCTAGGCTATCTCCTCCATGCTCCCAGCCAGAAACTAACTCACATCCAGCCCTGCCCCCAGCCAGGGCTCCACTCCCCTTCTTCCCATTGTTCCACTACCTGGGAGATACTGGTCGGACAGGTTTGGCAGCCCCCTTGCATAATGACTCATCCCCTGCCCTTCTGGGCCCTGCTGCAGACAGCAGCCAGTGGAGGTCACTCACAACCCACTGCCCAGCTTAGCAACCAGCAAGGTACCTCCCACTACGTCACACATGTATTGTAATGAAAATAAGTAGCAGGTTTAAAGCAAACCAAAGGAAGTTTTTCTTCACACATACCTAGTCAACCTGTGGAACTCCTTGCCAGAGGAAGTTGTGAAGACCGGGACTTTAACTGGGTTCAAAAAAAGAACCATAAAATATTATGGAGGATAGGTCCATCAATACTTATTAGCTAGGATGGGAAGGAATGGCGTTCCTAGCCTCTGTTTGTCAGGGGCTGGGAATGGGTGACAGAGAAAGGATCATTTGAGGATTCCCTGTTCTGTTCTCTCCCTCTGGGGCATCTGACATTGGCCACCGTTGGAAGACAGGACACTGGGCTGGATGGACCTTTGGTCTGACCCAGTCTGGCCGTTCTTACGTTTAAATACTGTAATTTCTCAGAATATGAACGCTCCACACTTCACTCAATCTGTAAATTGGAGGGGCGGGTAGGGGGATAGGGAGGTGTGGGGGGATAGATGGATGATTCAGTAAATAATATCGATCTGCATGAAACATCTTAGCAGAATCAGGAATCAAACTCGCTCGTCAGAACTCGTTTCTGTGTGTTCGTCAGTTTCCTAACCGCCGTTCTCTCTCTCCTGTATCTAGATGGACGCCCCACCAGGTCCCAGCAGACATTGATTGGGATGGTGGAGGGCTCGGTGGTTTTCCCTTTAAAAATTGCCCCTTGGATGCCCGTGGAGACCATTGTGTGGAATTCCATCACAACCCTCGCCACCGTGACCCCCATGAAAGGGAAACCCCCCGCAGTGAAAGTGCTGGATAAACGCTACATGGGGCGGCTGAGGGTCTTGGACCATTCCTATTCGCTGGTGATTAGCAACCTGAGTTTGCTGGACAGGGGCGTGTACAGAGCCCAGATAAACACCGAGTTCACCACCACCGTGACGGAATACCTGCTTCGCATCTACCGTGAGTGGGCGGGAGGGGCCATTGGCACCTGATGACGGAGGTTGAGGGTCCTTGGATTTCAAGGCGAGATTCAACTCTCAAGCCCCGCTGGAAATCAGCCCGGAAAAAGGGGTGGAGGAGGGACTCAAGGCCCTATCTCCTTTCAATTCAAGATGTCTGCTCCAACAGCCTACCTTAAACAAAGATCCCTCAGGCCAGAGTCCTCAGAGGGGTTAGGATTGCAGGATCTGGGAAGGAGTTTGGCTGGGGGTTTGGAGTCTAGATGGGCTCTGGGAAGGAGTTTGGCTGAGGGTTTGGGGTGCAGGCTCTGGGAAGGAGTTTGCAGGTGGAGGTTTTGTGCACAGGCTGTGGGAAGGTGTTTGGGTGGGAGGTTTGGGGTGCAGCTGGGCTCTGGGAAATGGTTTGGTTGGAGGTTTGGGGTGCGGGCCCTGGGAAGGACTTTGGGTAGGAGATGGGGTGCAGACTCTGGGATTGAGTTTGGCTGGGGGGTTGGGTGTGAGCTCTGGGAAGGAGTTTGAGTGGGGTTTTGGGGTGCAGGCTCTCAGCAGGAGTTTGGGGAGAGGGCTCTGAGAAAGGGCTTGGCTGGGGAGGGTGGGTTTCATGCTCTGGGGAGGAGTTCAGATGTGGGGGTTTAGGGTGCAGGCTCTGGGAAGGAGTTTGGGTGGGAAGTTTGGGTTTCACGCTCAGGGGGAGGAATTTGGGTGGGAGGTTTGGGGTTTAGGCTCTGGGAAGGAGTTTGGCTGGGGGTTTAGGGTTCAGGCACCAGAAAGGAGTTTGTGTGGAGGGGGTTTGGGTTGCAGACTCTGGGAAGGAATTTGGGTGGAGGTTTGGGATGTGGATCTGCTCTGGGAAGGAGTTTGGCTGGGGGTTTAGGGTTCAGGCACCAGAAAGGAGTTTGTGTGGAGGGGGTTTGGGTTGCAGACTCTGGGAAGGTGTTTTGGTGGGGTTATGGGGTGCAAGCTTTTGTGGGGATTTGGGGTGTGGGCTCTGGGAAGGAGTTTGGGTGCAAGGTCTGGGAAGGAGTTTGTCTGGGGGGTTGGGGTGCAGGCTCTGGGAAGGAGTTTGGACCTGGGTATAAGGGGTCAGGCTCTAGGTGGAAGTTTGGGAGTGGGGTATGGGGTTTGGGTTGCAGACTCTGGGAAGAAGTTTGGCTGGAGACTTGGGGTGCGGCTGGGCTCTAGGAAGAAGTTTGGTTGGGGATTTGGGGTGCAGACTCTGGGAAGAAGTTTGGCTGGAGACTTGGGGTGCGGCTGGGCTCTAGGAAGAAGTTTGGTTGGGGATTTGGGGTGCAGACTCTGGGAAGAAGTTTGGCTGGAGACTTGGGGTGCGGCTGGGCTCTAGGAAGAAGTTTGGTTGGGGATTTGGGGTGCAGACTCTGGGAAGAAGTTTGGCGGGGGTTTGGGGTGCAGACTCTGGGAAGAAGTTTGGTTGGGAGTTTGGGGTGCAGGATCTGGGAAGAAGTTTGGCTGGGGGTTTGGGGTGCAGGATCTGGAAAGGAGTTTGGACCTGGGGGATGTGGGGTCCGGCTCTAGGCATACGTTTGGGTGTAGGGTTCAGGCTCTGGGCCGGGGAGGGTTGGGGTACAGCAGGGCTGAGGGGCAGTGCTTACCTTGGGTAGCTTCAGGGAGTGATGTGCCATCCCTCTGTCTGCTCGCTGTGACCGTGACCGTTTGGTGTCACCCCGACATGCAGAGAAAATCCCGGTGCCAGATGTTGCCGTCAGGTTCCTGAATGGAACCTGCAACCTCCTGCTGACCTGCACGGTGGGCCAAGGCGCAG